GTTTTATATTTATATGAATTTTGATAACACAAATATAAAAAATGACTATATACAGATAGATAGATACATAGATAGTATTTCAGTCAAGATACAGAATGTTACTTTGTTCTCTTTTACTTTAGATAAATTAATTTTAATATATTTTCATTTAACCCAATGATTACCAACATAATTTGCAAGGAAAATAATTGTTAGTAAGATATTTCATGTTCATTTCTTTGTCCTAGTAATTCTGTGGAATCGAATGTCTATTTAACACATAGCACACCTCAATTTAGAGTAGACACATTTCAGATACTCACTGGCCTCATGTGACCAATGCCTGTCATATTGGCTCCTTTCTTCATCTTTCTCCTTTTAGCGATTCATGATGTAGGCTGCATGATAAGTCCCCTTGTGATGTGGTTTCTTGTTGAGTTCCATCAGAGAGGGACACCAAGAGATGAACTTAGAATATACAGGAGTAGAGCATGGTACTTTATTCTTCCTATAAGACTCTTTTAGACTGTGAGTTGGTTTCTACAAGTTTTTGGTGGGAATAGCTTCAGTTAGGTCACCTTCTCCTACAAGTTTTTCATAATAGCTCTCTCTTCTTTCACCTCCTACCTCTCCAAGTTTACAGAAGGAAAGGTGCTTCACAAAACTTGTTAGTTTCCCTCAACCTTGCCCTTATCTTTTATAAATACCTTATTAAACAATTTTTACTCTGATCTTTTTCATCCTTAAATCTTGACTACTGGATTTTAAATTATAAGAGAGTAAAATATACCTCCTCTCATATCACAGGCACTGTATATATAATGCCAGATTAATTATATATTAAAATATAACATATAAAATACTAAATGTTTTAAAGAACATATTTATATAACTTTGTGAAGAGAAATGGAAAACAAAAAATATGAGATAAACCAAAACCTGAAAAATTAAATGATATTGTACTTAAAATTTTTATGTGAAAAAATTTATCAAAAAGAGTTGAAAGAGACATGAATTGTATTACAGGTCATTTTTGTTTATTTTTGACATTTAACTTGACTTGGTTCCTCCTTTGGTTGGCTTTTTCTTTATTGTAGTTCTTCCCTTTGCAGATTTTCATCATTGTTTTTAATTTCCTCCTCATGGAATATTTTTGCCTGCAATGTTCTGTAGTGCAGGCTTTCTTGCTGTAAATTCTTTTAGCTTTTTTTTTTTTATCATAGAACATTTTATTTCATCATCAAATTTGAAGCTTAATTTTGCTAGATATAAGATTCTTGGTTGGTATCCATTATCTTTTAGAACTTGGTATATGTTGTTCCAGGATCTCCTAGCTTTAAGAGTCTGAGTTGAAAAATCTGCTGAGATCCAAATTGGTCTTCCTTTATAGGTAATGTGATTTTTCTCTCTTGCAGCCTTTAAAATTCTAACCTTTTTCTGTATGCTAGGCATTTTCATTATAATGTGTCTTGTTGTAGATCTGTTGTAATTTTACACATTTGGTGTCCTATAGGCCTCTTTTATTCGATTTTCCAGTTTATTCTTCATGCTTGGGAAATTTTCTGCTATTATTTCATTTAAGAAATTGTGCATTCCTTTGTTTTGAATCTCTGAACCTTCCTCTATCCCAGTAAATCTTAAATTTGGTCTTTTGATGGTATCCCATAGTTCTTGGATATTCTGTTCATGGTTTCTTACTATCTTCACTGTGAGGTCAACTGTATTTTCAAGATTGTATATTTTTTCTTCATTGTCTGAGGTCCTCATTTCCAAGTGATCTAGTCTATTGGTGATGCTATCAAGTTTTTTAATTAGCTTATTGTTTCTTTCATTTTGAGGATTTATATATTTTTTCAGTATCTTTATCTCTTTCTTGAAGTAATCTCTTGCAACTTATATTTCTCTCTCATCTCTTTGTTGGAGTGATCGATTTTTGCCTGTATCTGCTCACTTAGGTTGTTCTTTAATTCCCAGATCATTTTAGTTATGTATATTCCAAACACCTTCTCTGATACATCATCTATGGTGCTATCTATGGATACTATTGTTGTGGTATCTTGGTTTGTTTGGGGCACTTTCCTCCCTTGTTTTTTTTATGATGTCTATGTGTCTTCCTCTCTTGATGTGTAGATCTGAGGTATGACAGCTTCTTCCCTATTGTCTTATAGTGTTCCTATAAGTTACCAATACCTCACCTTTAAGGGGGAGATCAATATTACAGCACTTAATGTACCCAATGTGCAGCCATAGATCAGTTAGCTTCTATTTTTATATTTACAGTTTTGTCACTATAATCAGAAATGATGAGTTTGGTTATCTTCTACCATATAGTCAATAGGTTTCTGTAATGGTTTACAGTTTCTAGGTAGAAGAGAGGGTGGGGCTTGGCTGAGATGTTTATGAGGTAGGATGTGAGAGAATGGAGGTATTAGATTATATGACTAATGAGAGGGTAATCATTAGTAGGAGAAACAAGAGATAGGGAACCCCATGCAAGACTCCCTGTCACCTCAGCAACAGGATAACTGTTATCACCCCTAGTAGAGATTCCTTTGGTGCAGCCAGGACCACAGGAACCTTGGTGATGTCTTTCCAAGTCTTTATTGTTGTCTCTTGATAGAAGCTACGATATCTCAGTTTTGTGGTGGTGGCAGCCTCAAGCCTATACGTACCCTGATGTTGGGCTTTGGAACCATGCTTTGGTGAATAAGGAACCACAGCACAAGGTGCCTTACTACGTATCTCTGGGCCTGGGACAGGCCTCTCCTCTGGATTTTCGGGCCTCAGTGTGGAGGTCGGGCCTTTCCTCCAGATCTGGCCGTGCTGTGACCTGCACACTTTGGTTACTGTAGTTTGAGCAGATTTTGAAATTACGAAGTGTTATGCTTCTTCTTTTTTCTTCTTCTTTCATTGTTGAGTGTCTTGCAATTCCATGTGAACATTAGAAGAATACCTCTTCTTTTTGTATAAAAATGTCTTTGGTATTTGGAAAGTGATTGAACTAACTTCATGGTTAATGTTTGGGGAGATTTACAATTCTGTATGCTGGCAAATACCAGTTATCGTTAAAATGCATCACTTCCTTCAGAAGTATTTTTTAGTTTTTGTTGTGTAAGACTTTGCAGATAGTTTATAACCATTTTTATGTGGCTTTCACCTTCAGTCCCCCTCCTGGCTATTTTCCATTTTAGTTGTGCTTTTATGCATCTCACAATGTGCTGTGGCACTCTGATGTCCCATGGATTACAGGTTTCTCCTCCACTCATTCTCATTGTTAATTCCACATAATTTTAATACTTTGAATTTCCCATTCTTCTTCCTTAAAACTATTCTTATGTAAAAATGGTTTCCCTTTTTTCTAGCAAAAAAATTGTTTTAATTTTATTTTCACAGCAGAATCTAATATCAATTAATGTTTGCCCATGGAATTGAGGAAAACAATGTATTTTTTCAATTAGATACCAGTTTGTCTTGACTCATCTTTTTTTTTTTTTTTTTTGGTGCCTGATATTGACCTCAGGGGCACTTGATTACTGAGTCATATCTCCAGCCCTATATTGTATTTTATTTAGAGACAGGGCCTCACTGAGTTGCTTAGCACCTTGCTTTTTTTGAAGGCGGCTTTGAATTTATGATCTTCCTGCCTCAGCCTGCCGAGACTCTGGGATTATAGGCATGTGCCTCAGAGCCCAGCCTTGACTCATACTTTAACTTGCATGTGAATGTTTCCACTTCTCCACAATACTTTCCATCTCTTTAGTCAATTTCCATATGAATTTGAAATTTTCTTTTCTCTTGGTCTGTCTCTTGGTTCATCTTTCTGCTAATCTTATGCTGTGTTTAATAGTATAATTTAAAAGTTTCTTATTTATAGTCAGATGTCACTTAACATTCTGGGTGTTCTTCTTTAGGCTGCCTCATGACTGCACAGACACCACAGACTCCTAAAAGGAACAGCCTATTACATCCCTAGACTCTGTTGTTTCAGGGCTTCCTAGGCTACAGCCTTGCACAGCATTAGACTTTACAAGATACCAAAGGTGATCATGCAGTAGGTGTTTTTGTACAATCATTCCTACAAACACATTGCTTTTTTCTTTACTACTGATAACCATGTGTATGTAGTCCATTATTAACCAAAAATGTCTTTGACCAAAACATTGTTATGTGGTAGATGACTGTATATTATATAAACCAAAGGTCTGCTGTCTAGAACATATTGATAGGTATTACTTTTTTAAAAACTTCTTATTGTTCTTGGACAAATATTTTCTCTTGATGAAGCACCTGCAAATTCTACTTGATTTTCTTGGTGTTATCACACAGGATAAGCTTAATCCCTAGTTTCTATGTTTTGACCACTTCAATTAAATGTTGTCTACTAGGGAAGCTCTGAGATTCTTTGTTCAGAGGGTTCTTTTTCTTTTTGAGGGGTTGGGGGACTTTAATCCTTGAAGTTCTAATTTAAGAGTAGAAGAAAATAACAGGATATCTGAAGGTAAGCAAACATTCAGTAAGTCCTATGTTGCTTATGTACCCTCTAAAGCACTCTGACTCAGTGTAAATGCTTAGTTTGGTATGATCCTTCCCAAATTCTTAGCTCCCCCTACCCACTAAAGTACCACTTTGTCAGTAGGCATTTTTCAGAATAGGTACTGTCAGGAGGACTAATATTAGTTCTCTTCTGCACATGAGTTAGTAGGGCTTTATTATTCCATGTATTAGACATGCACCCTAGAAAGACCTTAGGGGTGACCCAGGAGCGTGCCTTATTCCTTGGACTCCACAAGGAGAAGGGTGTTTTTTCTCTGCTGCTACATTTCTAGATAGAAAAGTAGCTATTACATTGGAATGCTTGTTTGGGAAGTGAGTGCAGATATAGAGTACAAGTTTCAAAAACCATATCATGAAATAAATATATGGAGACCACAGAAATGTGAGAACATCTCACATGTTGAGAATAGAGCCCTCATGTTGTCAGTCTCTCCTGGTCTGCACTACATGTTTGTGGCATATTTTAGACCTTAGTGGCCTTTGAGGATGTGGCTGTGAACTTCACCCAGGAGGAGTGGGCTCTGCTTGATCTTTCCCAGAAGAATCTCCACAGAGATGTGATGCAGGAAGTCCTTAGAAACCTGGCTTCTATAGGTAAGGATGACGTTTCATTACATAATGAAAGACAGAGCACCTGGGAGGTATACTTTGCTCATGCATGTGGAATGTGGAAAAGGGAGTAACTGGGGAATAAATTGGGCCCAATGTCATTGCACTCAGCAGCATGAATGTCATAATTCTGTCTTTTTTCTTTTTTCCATCTTTTTTATTAGTGCATGATAGTTGTCCAAATTGTAAATCTCAAAATGCATTCTAAAATCACGATGATCCATAATGACTGTTCTGGGTCTACATTTTAGGAGACAGATGGGAAGACCAAAATGTTGAAGATCAGAACACAAATCCTGGGAGAGATGTAAGGTAATTTGTACTCATAAGAGGAATCAGAGCCCTGAGGGAATTCTAGCTTTTCCTATAATTTTACAAACAAACAAAGAAAACAAGCATGATATCAATAATGTTTATTCTTTTTTTTTTTTTTTTTACCAAAATTAACCTTAATGTAAAAGACATGTTTAGTGTTTTCAAAATAATTGACTTGTTGACTGTGCTAACAACCTGTATTTAATAGCACTGCTTCATTAGCAGCTGTGGAGCAGCAGTTTTGCAAAGTAATTGTTACATTGACTTTCAAACAGAATACAGTGTAGACATGACAGAAAACCAGTACTTTCCCTGACATGGGTAATAGTGTAAGTCCAATGCCTGTTAATAAATGTAAGAGTATTGATGAGCCAGCCATAAACTGTGCTTGTAATTTTTATACAGAAATCATATGGTAGGCTCTGGAACAAATTTGAAAGGTGCTCAGTTTGGAAAAAACCCTCAGTGAGATTCCATATCTTAGGGGTTTTTTTTTTTGGTACTCATGATTGAACCTCTGGGGCACTTGACAACTGAGCCACATCCCCATCCCTATTTTTGTGTTTTTATTTAGAGACAGGGTCTCACTGAGCTGCTTAAGCACCTCGTTTTTTGCTGAAGCTGGATTTGAACTCAAGATCCTTCTGCCTCAGTCTCCTCAGTCACTTGGATTACAGGTGTGAACCACCGTGCCTGGCTCCAAATCTTAGTCTTAAAGGATATTTCTGGTAGAAAGTTTATGTGAAAGCAGTACGTGTGGACAGATCTTCATATATTATGTTTTCCTTAATAGGCATATCATATCTCACTGTGCAAACAAATCATATAAGAATGAGGAGTGTGGAGGGAAGCCATATGAAGTTAAACAGAACAGGAAATCCTTCATTTCTCTCACAAGTGTTCAAAGACAAGTGTCAGTGCATGATGTCAGTGGACCTTATGGATATTTGACGTGCAGAAAAGAGTTCAATTGTTTCAGGAGTTTTGAAAAATGTGGACAATCTCATACTGGGGAGAAGATATATGGAAGTAAGCAACCTGGGGAAGACTTAACTTGTTCCAGTTCCCTTCGAAAGTATAATAGAACACATACTGGAGAGAATCCTTACCAATGTGAAAAGTGTGGGAAAGCCTTTGCTAGATCCAGTCACCTTTGTTCACATAAAAAATCTCATACTCTAAAGAAGCCCTATGAATGTAAACAATGTGGAAAAACCTTCCCCTGGCCCTCTTCCCTTCAAGTACATGAACGAACTCATACTGGAGAGAAGCCTTTTAAATGTAAACAATGTGGGAAAGCCTTTGCTAGATCCAGTCACCTTCGTGCACATGAAGAAACTCATTCTGCAGAGAAGCCCTATGAATGTAAACAGTGTGGGAAAGCCTTTGCTACATCCAGTCGCCTTCGCGCACATGAAAATACTCATACGGTAAAGAAGCCCTATGAATGCAAAGAATGTGGAAAAGCCTTCGCTTGGCCGTCTTCCCTTCAAATACATAAACGAACTCATACTGGAGAGAAGCCTTTTAAATGTAAACAATGTGGGAAAGCGTTTGCTACATCCCGTCACCTTCCCTCACATGAAGAAACTCATACTGCAGAGAAGCCCTATGAATGTAAACAGTGTGGGAAAGCCTTTGCTGCATCCAGTCATCTTCATGCACATGAAAAAACTCATACTATTAAGAAACCCTATGAATGCAAACAATGTGGAAAAGCCTTCCGCTGGCCCTATTCCCTTCAAATACATAAACGAACTCATACTGGAGAGAAGCCCTATAAATGTAAAAAATGTGGGAAAGCCTTTGGTAGATCTAGTTACCTTCGCTCACATGAAGAAACTCATACTGTAGAGAAGCCCTATGAATGTAAACAATGTGGGAAAGCCTTTGCTACATCCAGTCACCTTCACTCACATGAAAAATATCATAGTATAAAGAAGCCCTATGAATGCAAACAATGTGGGAAAGCCTTCCCCTGGCCCTCTTCCCTTCAAATACATGAACGAACTCATACTGGAGAGAAGCCCTATGAATGTAAACAATGTGGGAAAGCCTTTAGTTGTTCCACTTATCTTCATGTGCATGAACAGACTCACATTGGAGTGAAGCCCTATAAATGTAAATAATGTTTAAAAGCCTTCACTTCTTCCTCTTCCCTTCAAATACATAAACAAACTCATATTGGAGAGAAGCCCTATGAATGTAAACAATGTGGAAAAGCCTTCCCCTGGCCCTTTTCCCTTCAAACGTGAACAAACTCATATAAATGTATACAAATATAAATAAATTTAAACAAAGCCTTTATTTTACCCCTATCTTCATGTGCATGAACAGATTTACATTAGAAAGAAGCCCTATGAATTAAACAATGTGGGAACACCTTCACCTGGTCCTCTCACCTTCAAATACGTAAACACTCATACTGGAGAGAAGCCCTATCAGGGTAAACAATGTGGGAAAGACTTTGCATCATCCAGTTACCTTCACTCACATGAAATAACTCATACTGTAAGGAAGCCCTATGAATGTAAACAATGTGGGAAAGACTTTGTATTAAGCTCTCAGCTTCACAAACATAAAAGAACTCATATAAGAAAGAAGCCCTATGAATGTAAACAACCTTGAAGAGGTTTGGCTATATTCAGTCAGCTTCACTCACATGAATGAACTTATATAGGAAATGAGACCTATGAATGTAAACAAAGTGAGAAAGCCTTCACTAGCTCCTCTTACCTTCAAATACATAATTAAACTCATACTGGAGAGAAGCCCTATGAATTTAAGCAGTGTGGCAAAGCCTTCACACAGTCCATTCCACTTCATCCACATGAACAAATTCATACAGGAAAGAATGTTATGAATGTAAACAACATGGGAAAGGCTTTGCTTCATTTGATGGCTTTTAGTCCCATGAAAAAACTGATACTGGAGAGAAGCCTCATGTATGTAAGCATTGTGGTCAAACTTAGTTTTACCATTCATCTTCACATGCATGAACAGACTTACCCTGGAGAGAAGCTCTATGAAGATAAATAATGTATTAAAATTTTCATATTTTCTCCCTTTTCCTAAAATATAAGTGAACAATCTCATAGAGGAGAAAGACCCTATGACGTAAGTGTTGTGGTAACAACTTCAATAGTTTGGCTTCTTCAAATACATAAGAAAACTCATAATGGGAAAAAACATTATGAATGTATACAAGGAAAGCCTTTACTTCTTCCTGTGGGTTTTACATACATATATTTATTCTAAAGAAGAGTCATTTGAATGTAAACAGTAGGGCAAAACATTTACAAGTTGTGATTGTCTTCATGTACATGAAATAAATCATACTGGAGAGAGGCCTCTTGAATATAAACAGTGTGGTACACCCTTTGCTTATTCCAATTCAGTTTGAAAACACCAGAGAACTCATACTGCAGAGAGCCTGTATGAATGTAAACAGTCTGGAAAAGTTTAGTACTTCCACTCACCTTCAAGAACAGATGCACTTATACTGCTGAGCAAGTATAATGTAAGCAATGCCGGAAAGGTTTCACTTATTGTTATCAGCTTTAAATCATAAATTCATACTGGATAGAAGTATTATGGCTGTCAAAATGTGTGAAAGCCTTTAATTGATCTTTCTACCTTCAAATACAAGGACAAACACACTGGTGAGTGTTATGGTTTGAGTCTAATCAATATAGATTATAGATTGTAGATATAAGATATTGATAAGCAGAATAAATAAGATAAAAAAATAAGTACTATGGGATAAATAATGTTAAATTGCCCTGTAATAAGTTAGAAGTAAGCATAGAACATAAGTTCATTAGGAGTAAGCCTAAGTAATAGTAGTAAATCATGTAATTGTAAGATTTAGGATTTAAGCTACAGGAAATAAAATATAGAACAGTGTGAGGTGATAAATCAGTAGGCCAGTAGAGTTATAGATAAACAGATATAGATAAGGTTAAATCAATATAGCCATAGACAAATATAGATTGGTATAGCCATAATGACTCAATTTTTATAACTCCTCTATGAACTCTCATATAAGTTATTTTTAAGATGCTAAAAAAAAAAATTTTGTTTTTCTGTACTTGAGCACAGGATGTAAACCCATAAATGTTCTCGAACCCAGGATGTAGTTGTCTGTTTTTGCTCCCTGCTTTCTCAGCACTTGTATCCTGCTTGCTTACAACTTGCAGATTCTGTAGGATGTGGTTTTCTTCCTTAAATACTCTGGCCACAGACAATTTGAAGCTGTTCTCCCATAGGGTTGCTTGGACTCTGTTAGGGGTCTCTGGCCAGATAATAAAGACTCTCAAATTTTCTTTAAATTTGGACTTAGAGAGTTTTCTGAGTGATCATCCCAAAACAGTGAGAAGCCCTTTGAATATAAACAAGGTAGTGAAAACTTCATATGCTGCAGTTACATTCAAAATCAAGAAGTAACTCATATTAGAATAATGCTATACTAATATAAAGAATCAGAAAAGTGGTGCAGTTCCCTAATAAGCCTTAAAGAAATGGTAATGTAGAAATGCACTTTGCATGCAAAAATTGTGGCAAATTTTTCAGTTTCCCTAGTCATCTTCAAATACATGAAAGGATTCACATGACAGAAACTCTGAACATTAAAACATGGTAAGTCAGTTTCCCCACTTGCTTTCAAAGCCATTTCACTCACAGTAGGGAGAAAACCTTCTAAATGTGTGATATTTACTTCCTATACATGAAAGGTAATGGAACAAAGAAAGTGTGTGTAAGTGTCCAATTTTTCCAATTCTTTTGAAGAACATAAAACAATTTGCACAGGGTGAGAAATTCTGAAAAAGAAATCAGATACAGTCTTCACATGTTCCAGTTTGATTTATGTGTCAGACTGGATTTCCACTGAATTGACAATAATAGTAGAGAAAAATCAACCTCAGGGAGGGAAGATTTATTTTGGTCCATGACTGGCTGACTGCCTTGCTTTAGGCCTGAGGTGGAGCAGAACATAATGTGGAATGGTGTAGGAGGGTAGACCTACTTACCTCATGGCAGCTGCGGAGGAGGGCGAGAGTGAACCAAGCCCATCCCTAGTTGTCTAACAGGTTTGGATTATGCAGAGTGCAGCTGTGGCCTTTCTATTTTCTGTGTGTCTGCTTCCCTTGATACTGTAGTGTGCAGCCTTGATGGGGTTTATATCCTTGGTGCCTGATGGTACAGGTACTGATTGGTAAAGGAAGAGGAAACAATGGTGTTTGCTTCCAATAAAGCATGGGAGAGGCTACCCCCAGTGTTCTGAGGGCAAACTCCTTTGTCAGTGTGGGTTTCCTTGGCACTGCTGTTTGCCATCATTTCAGAAGTCGGATGAGAAAAAGTTTTGATGTCCTTGGAGAAAATGACACTGCATTGTGTACTATCCTGAACAAGAATAAATCACATTTCCTGAAGATTGACATGATGACTTCCATTGTAGGTTACTGGGCAGCAAAACTCTTTCACTTAACCACACAGAACATGAGCATTAGTGGGGATCAGATGAAGATAACCTGTGCAACCTGCAAGTTTGCATGAGTAACTATCCCCAAATTTTCAGAAGCAATTTGTGTAGAAAGAAGAGGAGACAAAGGGCTGGAGTGTAGTTCAGATGGTAGAGTGTTTTGTCTCCCATGCATGCACAAGGCCCTGGGTTCAATACCTGGCACACACAAAAAAAAGTAGTTATGTGTAACATGCAGTTCTAGCAACCTAATAACAACTGACCTGCTCACCAAGACCCTTGAGTACAACATGCTATGCCTCCAGCTCAACAAGTGTGCTGATCCTCTGGTATCAGGTACTGGATGGCTGTTCAGTTGGTCTTGAACCAGCCCACTTCCTCCCCACCCCACCCCCTTTGTTGCTTATAAATCTCAAGAATACATGTAGAATGTGGACATAGAAGAATGAAAAGCAATCCCATGAGATGACAGGCCAAACTGTCTGTCTCTTGGAGAAGTGTGGGAAGGCAAAAGGTAAGAGGCGGCAGAATGGGAAGTGGAAAGAGATGGGGAGACAGCCCACTGACCATGTCCCTCCCTGACTCAGGGGCCAGTACAATGGGATGGAATCTTTAAAGGATTTGTCTTTTGAGGCAGCATCAGAGTAAATGTCCCTGTTCTTATAGGACAATTATTCTCAATTCTGAGGAATAATTGAGAATAATATTGGGATAGGGTAATGGAGGAAATTTTTGACAAATCTCAAATCTGGGCAGCAGGTGGAGGGATGGTGTGGACATTATTCATATATGTGAGCTGGTTTTCAATTTCCTGGTGTGATCACTGAGCTCAGAGCATTGGAGAATACTATCTCAGAAGATGAGACCCACGTCCAAATCCTGAACGCTACTTGCTCAAACCATGGATTCTGGTTTGTATGCTAACTTCATTCCTGTATATTCAAAGGCAAACTACTAGTAAACAAAAATTGCATTTGGGGATGAGCAACAAGGAATTTGTTGAGGGACTAAATATGCTGTATGATCAGATGATTCATTTAATCCACATTTCAGTAATTTATTAACATGAAAAATGAATCATTAGGTTTGAAATGAGCTAATTACTGAAGAAATAATAATACTTTAATTAGTTTAAGAAATTTGTAAAGTAAGTCTCAGAAATTTGAGGATATAATGTTCTTAAAACATGAACACATTCAACCAGAGAAGTGAGACAAACCAGTGGTTCAGAGTAGAATTTAAAGAGACAAACCCACACAGATTGTTATTTGATCCTGGATAAGTGTACTAAAAAGCATATTGGAGTAAGGACAGCCTTTATAAAAAAAATTGTGGAAAATCATGATGAGCTATACCACTTTTTGGTATTTACTGTAAAATATTGATGTTTGGATATTATAGTGATACCTGCATGTCCAGGACTATAGCAGCACAATTTAAAATATGGAACTGGCATCAATGTGTATCAGTGGATGAATTAATACAAAAAATGTGGGGTAAATCCACAGTAGAAGCTCATTCAGTCATAAAGAAGGATGAAATTGTTATTTACAGGAGAATGTATGGAACAGGAGAATATATGTGAAGTGAAAAAAGTCAACTCAGAAAGTCAAGGCTCATGTTTTCTCTGGGGTTGAAGTTACAAAGAGGAAAAGAAGGGGGCTGGGGATACAGCTCATTTGGTAGAGTGCCTGCCTTGCATGTCCAAGGCCCTGCGTTTACTTCCCAGCACCAAAAAAAAAAAAAAGTAAAAGAAATGTATAGAGGGAGATCTTAAGAGAATCTGAGATCAGTAGAAAAAAGGACCAGGCACAAGGAGGAGGGAAGGATAAGGAAAAAGAAGAGATGCTGGGAGGGTAATGGCAAAGTTATATTGTTCTACTTTGTGCATGTGTGACTGCCTTATAACATCACAGCATTACGTGTAAGTTTCATGCACTAAGGAGAATACAGGAAGAAATAAAGGGTACATTCCAGCTAATCTGCAATCCCAGTGTCTGAAGTTCTCTGCATCCTATTCCTCCCCTCCTGTTGGAGGCGACCCCAAGGAGGAGTTTCCCTCTCAGGCCAGTGCCAACTGGGAATCACAGCATGCGTGAGAAGGCAAGTAGAAAGTGAAGGTTGCAGGTTCCCTCTGGGGTACCTTCATCCCCAAATTTGGAAACAGTAGCCAGCTCCAGGAGAGTTGCTCCCTATGTGCATATCCTGACCTATGCTGGGTTGTGTTGTTCATCTACTTCCTCTATTAGACTGCGGCAACTCATGGTTGTGCTATTAGCATCCAAGCCTGTGTCCCAAGCCAGTCCTCATTACATAGGGCACCTGATTGTTTCACAAGAGAAATATTGAGAAAGTGGTGACATAACATGTTAACATTGTTTTAAGTGAAATAAGAAATTACTTTATTCTGAGGCAAATGTGAATGACTGTGGCCTTGGCACGCAGATTCATGTTACACTTAAAGATTTGTTCCTCCATTGAAGAGTTTTGATGAACTTCCTTACCCATGGAACAAAGATGTCTGTGAATCAGTAGGTTTACCAGATTTTTCCTTAGGGTCCTTATGTAGGCAGGCAAGGAGACCTGCTTATAATTTTCAGAAATAATCTTGTAGAATTTGTAGCTTTAAGATTGATATAGGGAAGAGGTTGGCTAAAATTGGTGATACATGTTCATAATAATGTAACAGGGATTTTAGATAAGATACAAAGGTTGAAAATAGACAGATTTTAAAGGCTCTAAGATAGCCCAAAATAATTATGGTTCTTGACATGCAATATTCCTCTCCTCAGTCATGAGGGTCTGCTCAATCAAGGCTTTACACTGTGCAGGATCTCCAATACGTGTGCAGCTTCAGAGAAGTTCAGCTTCACAGTGGACCCTTTGGGCTAAGTACCACAGTATGCATGCAGAGCTTGAAAGGCTCAATCATAGCATTTGATAGAGAGTCTGAGAGAAAAGATCGTAGTCTTCAGGAAAAGGAAATAGTTCTAAAGCCATCAAGGAAGCAATCCCTGCATGATGTTAGTGATACTAGCCATTGTGAGCTCGTTCTCAGCTTTAATCATTTCCATCCTCTGCATCTGACAGCATTTCCCTCCAACATAAAATAGGTCTAATGTATCTTAAAAAGTGCCAATGATCAAGATTATATTGTGAAGAAAATGTGAATGTGTGGTCCAAACCAACCCCCAAATCCTCTCTGTATATCATCATACTTTAATCAGACTGACAATGGTTTTCCCCTGTATGTACAACTACCTGTACTTGATGAATTATTTATTTGATGTTTGGAGTATTTAAAATAATTTATTATCTATTGGTTCTATATTTTTCCTGTCCAATTTGAGTCTGCATTCATACAGTCATGTGCAATAGCTAGTTCTAAGAAAGGTTCATCTTTCTTTAATATCCAAATCATTTTCTTATTCACTCTATATGTGTAATTTTTGTAAGATTAGGTTCAAAATCTTTGGGAATCCCATATGACAGTCAACAGAGTAGAAGTGACGGTGAGGTGGTATAAGTCTGAATGTGTCATAGTGTCCCCAAGCATTTTCTGCATCTGATGATAGTATTTATATCATCTAGAATTTTGAATCCACCAATTTGCCCTGTAAATAGTAGTTCACTTTGGTGATTGGGTTCACGTAGGGTTAGAGCCCATACTTTGGGATGTGTACCACAATGACAAGGAGTAAGGATAGGTTTGTTGCATTGGGAAACAGGTTGAGCTACAAGAAATTAACCATTATACTTGTCATATGAAATTTGTCATTATAGTCTCCAGGATAAAACATGCATACTTCCTTTTTTCCTTTCAATAGGAAGGAAGTTTGTTTGGGCTGG